AAACGCTTCTTGAGAGAAGATTTCCTAAAAAGGAAATTTTCAAAAAATCAGCGGTGAACGGGTGAGAGTTTTTTTTTTTTTTTTTATATAAAAATTTTTCAAATTTACAATTATAATAAAGTAATAATGTTTATTTATTTAAAAAAAAAAATAAATAAATAATATTTTCAATTTTAATAAAATTAAAAAAAAACAAATAAATATTTTTATTTAATAGCAAAATTACAAAAAAATTATTATTATTTTTTTTTTCTGTTGCAAACAAGTATTAAATACAAGACATTTATTAAACATAAGTTTATTGTTATTACATTAAAAATCCTACACCATCTTATTTGATGGGAGTTAATCCTAGCCTATTGCATGAAAAATCTTTAATTCACAAGAACATCAAGTAGGTGGTAACAAACTATCAGTGGTTCATAAATGACTAATGCCTATTTATAAACAGCTAAGTTAAAGAGAACATTAATAAAAATTTTTGTAATTGGGTTTTGGATATGCTGTCTGGACCTGTGAAACCATAATGGCAGTTGTTTTTTTGAAAATAATTAATTGAGTTTTGGATTTGTTGCTTGAACCTGTGAAACCATACGGCAACTGTTTAAGAGCTGAGTAAGGCATGTAAAAAGCCCAGTATTTTCACATAACTGTGATGTTAGTATTGTTGGGATGACTAGGAAAATTGTTGAGGTATTTTTGTTTAATGTTGTTGTTGTTGTCATTGTAAACATGTTTGAGCCGGTTTGATTGTTGTAAAATGTGATTATTGAATTTTGATTGGTTATTGAGTTTGTGTTGATCATTTGGAGGGATAGAACTGATTTTGGTTTTTGATATAGTGAAAAATTTTGTAAGATTTTGAGTGGCGCAGCATTGTATGTCATGAAGGTAATTAAGAAGGTTTGGTTAAGACAAGCAATAGATCCAGTAACTTTGCTTGAATATGACTTTAGAAATGAATTAATGGTATTGAGGATTGATATGAAGATGATTATTATGATTGTTGAAAGGAGGAAAATACATAAAGACAAAGTTATGAAGGAGGACTGCCACGGGCCTTTCCCCATGCAATCAAAAAGCAAACAAGACTCCCAAACTTGCTTGACCTTTGACCAGAGGTTCCATTCCAATGCAACAGTGGTCCTTAAAGTCTTTATGTCCTTGAGCTTATGGCATAATTGGCATATTGAAAAGAGAGAGGAAAGCACTTCTTTCAAGAAAATTTTCATAAAAGAAAATTTTCAAGAAATCAGTAGTAAACGGATGAGAGTTTTTACAAAAAAATTATTTTAATAAGTAATTTTTTAGTTTAAATTTAAATAATCTTATTAATATAGATAATTATTTTTAAAGATAACAAAAATATTAGATATAATTTTTTCTTTCTTTTTTTTTATAGTGGAATGTACGCATGGTGCATAATCTTTATTGATATATTTATACTGTATATCCAGATAGACACCAAGTGTCTTTACAAATTAATCGATGATTGGTTGGTATAGAATACTCTTTATGTCTTTGCAGTTAATTTGCAAGTTAACACTACCTAGTACATATATTACTATAAGACTAGCTACGCTAACCACTATTACCCAACTATATGTCTATTTAAACACCAAGGAGATGTGTCCACATGTCAGGTGAGACTTTCGCAGAGGAGAAATTCTACCACTAGTTTAAATCTATCTAAACCTGCTAGTCCATTATTGTAGGGAGCAGTGTGTATAGAATATTATTATAGAAACTAATCCCAAAATTTCAATCTTCTATTATTGCTAATTCTCAGGATGTGCTATTAGCATAACGTCACACTACCGTTTTCACCACCTGTGGAACTGGTATTTTTGCTTGGATTCCAATTTAATCTTGTAGAACCTTACTAGACTCACTTTGCTTACCGATTTTTGTCTAATCTTCTTATCACCTGTGGCTGATACCTTGTTCTTTGGTCATATGATTAAGTTCTGTAAAACACCACCATTGGGATAAATCTACAAGCTCCAGATTGGGATAAATCAGCTTAGAATTAACCTCTTTTATATTGTGTAATGGAGTCTGCCGTCGCCAATTTGGGTTGAAGTTTTGTGGACTTATTACCGAAGTTAGACCAGAAGCCTTTTCTTATACAACTTTTCTTGCTTCGACCTGTTTTCAGCTCACAATCATCGGGAAGACCAGAGGTCCTATCTTTATACAACCTAACTAAATTTGAGAAATTGATTGTTTGTCGGCTAATTGGGTATAACATGAATTGGAAGCTAGTTAACCAATCATGAAGATAATAAATTTTTGTAACCAGGTGGAGTTAAATCTTAAACCTTCTCCTGGTGACCTGTAGAATACTATCACTGTACTATAGACCCATAGGTCTAGATATAATTTTTTCAAATTCAATTTTTAAACAATATATATATAATATAAATTTTAAAATTCTATCAAAAAATTCTAATTAACTTTTGAAAATATTTATCTATATTATTATTAAACTTTTTTTAAAAATTTATTAATACTCTTTTATAATAAAATAAATTATTAATAAGATATTGACTTTTTAAGAATAAATAATTTTTTTTGTTTTTTTTTTATAAAAAAAATTTTTTTTCAAAATATATCTATATAATAATAGATTAATATATATAGAAATATATTATATTTTAAATTTTTAAATATTAATTATGTAATATATTTTATTTAATTAATAAGGATTATGAAAAATACTTTACTTAATATATATTTTTTAGAAAAATACTTCAATTGATTTTTATTATTATTGTTTAAAATATTTGTTTAAAGCAATTTAAATTATTTTTTATATATTTTAATTATTATAATTTTATTCTATATAATTTTAAATAAGAAATATAATTATTTGATATTATTTAACTATTTTATTGATTTAAAGAAAATTTTTTTATATAAGTTAAATGATTATTGTAAGCAAGCTAATATTTAACTTGTTGCAAATACATATAAGAAATGTTGTTTCTTTCAAAATATATATTTTGCAATAAATAAATAAATAATATCTATTGATTTTAATATATAGTATGATACAAAAAAAATAACAATTATATTTTTAGTTATAACTTAATAAATAATTATTAAAAATTTATGAAAATTTATAAATATATAATTAAATATCTTATAAATAACTTTATTTTATACTACTTTAATCAATATATTAATATTTTTTAAAATAATTTAATTTTTTTACTCTTTTATATATAAAAAAAATGATTGGAAATAGGTAAAAAAAATTTTTATAAAAATATAAAAATATTATATAAATATTTCTGAACATTTTTAATATTTTTATATATTACTTTTTATAAAATTCTTATTATTATTTAAAATTATTTAATTGGTTTTTTATTATATTTTCAAAAATAATTTAATAAAATATTAAATTATAAAAAAAATTATTTATGGAATAGTTTGATAAATAAATAGAACCTATAATCAAATATTTGATTTAATATCTTAAAAAATTTTTTAAATTAACATTCTAATAAGTATAAAATATACAAAAAAAAGAAAAAAGTCGGTGAAAAATTGTATTATAAACAGTCTAATTCTTTAAAAGTTTTTTAAATAAAATTTAAATAAAGCTATATTTTAAATTAAGATTAGTATTATAAATTTATATACTGTATATCATTTATAGTACAGGTAATGGTTTTATAAAAATGGAATTATAGATTTAAACCATCAAATATATTTTATTTTATTATTAAGAAAACGTTACTGTATTTAGTATCAATCCAAATAAAAATAAAACTGTCAACTTTTAATTATATAATATAACGAATCACAATTGTATTTCTGGTTGTCATGGAAGATACAGATAAAAAATTTCCATCCATAATTCTCAGCTGGAAAACAGGAGCAATAATAATAATAAATAAAATCCATCATTCATTCTCACTCTTTAAAAATCCCCAACAACGCCACATACGTTCACAAGTCCAGATTTTCTGTCTTATTGACATATTCGGGGTATCTAGGTCCCGAAGGTCATCTAAGAATCGATAACGCAAATTGTTTTTTGATGATAAGCATGAAGAATAGGATCGAAGATAGTGAACATGACAAAGTATTAGGCCATGTGTAGCGAAAGGTATTTCAGTATTGGGAGAGCGGTAGTGATTAACGAGAAGGCGTTCCACCTGACTGCATTATCATTAAAACAAGATTACCATTGATGAATACAAAGAATCTTTACTAAAATGGTAAAACTTACCGTAAAGATTCTCTCATTTTGACATTTGTACCTAAAAGTCTATTGGTCCATCTTTCTTTTCTCCACAAAATTGCTTTAATCCAATTAAAAAGCAAGTAGACAATAAATATACTAGGTCCAACCGCCAAGAAAGCGAAATTTAGTTCATTGGACTTCAAAAGCTTGTCCAGAGCTGCCATGGCCAATTCTAGGTCGACTTTTGTCTTTTGGACTTGGATGAGCAATGTGCGAATCAGTTTACCTTAATAGAGCATCAATGAATTAATATTATAGGAAAGTTGAAAGAACAATGCTATTTATGGAATTATAATATTACCTGTAAGAGTGGATTTGAAAGGACTCTGTAAAGGTATAGACGATGGTTTCAATTTGTGCAGCAAGGGAAAAAAAAAATCACTCAGTATTTTACCTTTAATTCTTGCTCATATATTTTCAACACCATTGATAGATCTCCTTCTTTTATGCTATATGAAAGCTTTGTCAGTTCTTCAGGAGAGAAGTTTTGTTCTCGTGCGAAGTCAAGGACCATTCTTTCTAATGACTTTAGGAACATCAGATAATTGATTATTATTGTTTTATAATATAATATTATAAGAGTAAAAAAATTTTCACCTCGAAATCTGAATTAAGGCTTTCTTTACCCATGATGGCTAACCTACTTTCTCGGTGACGAATTGTGTCCATCATCTCCTTAACAGGATCCCACACCCAGTCTTTCCAAAAATTGATGACAGTAGTCTTTAAGTCCTCTAACCAATCCCGAAAGAATTCCTAACGATACAACGAAATCTTATTAAATTAACAGGACTACCAACTGTTAAATATTAGAACCAAAAATGCAAACCTGGGACATGTATCTTCGAGTTTTATAAATGAGAATAGAAGAAATGGTGAAAGGTATCCACCAACGCACCAGGCTTGAAGGTTGACCATAGAATGCTATAACTCGTGAATATCGAGCATCATGTTGAGAAAGGTAAATGACAACAATTCGAAGGCGTTCATAGAAATTCGGCGAATTTTGAGGACTCTTCACGTCGTCTATAATATAACGTTGAATGACATTGAAGTGAATGTTTTCAGGACGAATGGATCGATCGATCATCACACACCTGTGATATTTTTTATGCTCGGCACATCTCCGGTTTTGACATCTAATCTAGTTGCTTCGTTCAGAGTTCTTTCCATCAAGATCAAGCATTTGGTCAATGAATCCAAGATAGCTGCATGTACACGTGCCGCATCTAATTGTTCAACATTTTCTGTAGCATATTTGAAATCCAAACCTTCTTTACTTAAGAAACCTAGGCATGCCGCCTGATATTCCATAATAGATTTCAACTTTATTTTTTTATACCAAATTTCTCGACGCGCCAAATGTAATACGGATAATGTTGAAAGGCTTGAAATACGCGTATGAATATGTGTAGAAAACAGATCTCTTGTAAAATATTGCCTCAAGGGAAACAAAGGATTTGTCAAAGACACATTTTGATATTGTTCACGAACAGGATTGAAGCTAGCCCTCAGTAATGAATATACGCGTACGGGAAGAGCTGGCAAATAGAAGAAAATTTGGATCATTCGTTGAATTTGACATTATTACGCGTTATTAAATCTAGAGTCAAAGTATAATGTTCAATAGCTCAACTTTGAAGCATATGAATTGTAGTCCAAAATCTACTTCCATGCAGCTTTTCCCAGTAATAAATATCTTCGAATAGTGGCAGAGTCGAGATTAGAAAGTGTTCCATCACTTTCGCGTATACTGCCACAGTCACCTTCGCTAAAAATATCAACTCCAAGAGCAAAACTATCGCGCTAAATTTTCCGTTTTCCAGGGGTACTTCCTGTTCTTTGCCGTCTTTTTTGCTTCCGTATAGTTTTCTTTCCAAGGTTTCCAGTTGAGTTATTACAAAGATTAAATTTGGTACTTTTCCTTCTTCAAGTTTGACAGATTGAATTGCACTTTTAATAGCTTCTGCGCGTTCGACATCGCCCTGATCGATCGTTTCAATTTTTTGATCAAGAATGTTGAGGGTTACTGAGCGATAAAGAAGATCCAAGTCACTTTGAAGTTCGCGTACACGTTCGCGAATAAAGCTCATCCTCAGTCACTGAAGAAAGAATGTTATTCCGTGAAATGATACCGCAGATTTCCATTTACGTAGTACGTAGAATGATCCGATATTGTCCGGCATTAAGTACGTATGTATAAACTTATGCTGGTAAGAAATTGATGAACCACCTCAGCTAGCTGCTGTCAAGCTGCTAGCGCTACTAATTATATAAAGGTACTACACATCTTGTTTGATTGTACCGACGAACTCAAGGTTGAATTTTCGAGCATCTCACTTTTCCGGTGACTTAAAAAAGAAAGAAGCTTAAATGATTGACATCTGCATCCGCTACTTTTAGTGAAGAAAGAATATATACCTCAGTGTACCTTATTTTCGTTCATAAACCCCACCGGAATGTGGAACTCTACCACGACTTCTGCAGCTCAAGCGAATGCTAGTGCCTCTACTAACGATCCTAAAGAACAACAGTTTCAACAAGAAGTCGAAGACGAAGAAGAGGAAGAAGAACTCATGCAGGAAAGTGGTGGTCAATTTCAGGGCGAGTACTACGGTGAGTCTTAATGTTCTTGAATACATATCCTTGTTATTTCAAGAAACTGGGTTCTGGGCTCTGGATTATTAAAAAGATAACTGCAAAGCGTCTCAAAATTTCCCATTTGAATTCTACTGAAATAAATAATACTTGGGAGTTTTTTCAGTCATTAGGTAGATCCGTATTTTTTTTAGAGCGCAGATTTGAAATAATTGTTGAGATGGATTATAGCAACCATGATCTCGAATGATTCTGTTACAATTAATGAATAGAAACGAAGTTGATGATTATATTTAACATATTATAGAATGAGAAGCTGGACTTTTAAATTAGTTATTTCTAAAGTTTATGAAGCTTCAAATTAGACTAGAATGATTCGGAATTCACCAAATCTTACGTCAATTTCTATTATTATCACTAAATAAAGAATCGGATACATCTAACGACACAGGAACGGAATCACTCACATGGATCTCTTGGTTCTGCACACTTCCCGGCCACGAATACTTTGCTGAGGTTGCTGAAGACTTCATTGAAGATGATTTTAATTTAACTGGTCTAAGTTCAGTGGTTCCGTTCTATAAGGAAGCACTCGAAATGATTTTAGATGTCGAATCTGGTAAGCATAGCTTAGTCAAATCAGGTGAAGAGCGCATATAGACATTTCAACGAATGTCTCCAAAGTATTTCATTTTTAGAATATGTAAGAATTTTTCAGGGTAATAACTTCTTAATCTCATAGAAGAAGAAACTTTGAAAGTTCCTGACGTCTCAATTGTCGAAACTTCTGCCGAATTGCTTTACGGTCTCATACATCAGCGGTATATTATTACGCGTCAAGGTTTGCAACAGATGGCAAGTATCAATCGTAGCATTGACTTTTAATGCGCACAAGTTTTATTGAAGTATACGCAATTATTTAGGTAGATAAATATGAATCTGGGCATTTTGGTTGTTGTCCCAGAGTATATTGTCAATCGTGTTCTGTCATTCCATGCGGACGAACCGATACACCAGGACTAGAAACCGTGAAACTATTCTGTCCTAATTGTCTTGACTTATACGGTCCACCTAGTTCAAGATTTCATAATGTTGATGGTACATTAAACTAGATGGCTAGTTTATTTTTTAATATATTGTGAACTTTTGGGTGATAGTTTTGACGAACAAGAATAATGTAACGATCCATCTCTTTCTTTCTTTCTTTTCTTTCTTTTCTTTTCTAGGAGCCTTCTTTGGCACAACGTTCCCTCATCTCCTTTTCCAACAATACCCGGGTTTACTTCCCAACACACCGGCGAAAGTATATGAGCCAAAAATCTTTGGGTTTAGGGTTAATGAAAGAAGTCGTAGTGGACCTAGGATGCAATGGTTGAGGATGCGCCCAGGTGCAGTGGAAGGTGATGTGGAGGGTCAAGATCAATCGGAAGGTGGAGGTGGAAATGATGATGGCGAAGATGACGAATCCCTGTTAGGTCCTGGCGGCGGGGAGAATAATGGATCACCAGGAACCACACGAAAAGCAGAATATAATCCTCCAGCCCTTGATATGGAATTGGGTCTGGGAAGTAGCAAGGGTGGAACAAAGCAAAATTTGAATGGAGAAGCGGATAAGCAAGAAAAATCTTTGAATCAAAAGCTTTCGTCCGCACGAGAAGCGGGTCGTCTGCGCGAGGTTAATCTTGGAATGTCTCCCTTGACAAAATTGATACCGACTGTTGTGACCACTCCTACTCAATCATCCATATCCATATCAACGAATGAACTTTCACCTGTCGAAACACCATTGCTATCATCACCATCAATGTCATCGTCTTCATCATCGTTACAAACGTGGCTGGAAAGGCTACCAAGTGCTGGGCATGTTAATCAGCCTTTGGGTTCCAACGCGAAAGTTGATTTTGTTAAAAGTAAAGACAAAACATTACAAACCGTATTTTCTGGTAAGGAATGTGAGGAAAGATCTAGAATTAAAGTTAATTTCGAGGGGGGAGATACAGAACCGGTGGGGATAGAAGTTGCAAGTGTAAAAGAAATGAGAAGAGACTTTTTTGATAAATGGACGGGTACAAATATTAATAGCAGTGTGTTAGATTCTACAGATACCCTAACGACACGAACAGAAGCAACAATTAATGAAGTATTATGAACATTTTATCACTCCGAAAAAAAAGTATATCACTTATACTCTGGTGATGGTGGCGATGTCGGCACCGAAAATGAAGAATGCATTATACACTCCAATAGGATTTTTGATGATGTTTATTAAAACATTTTTTTCTTTGTATAAATCAAAAAAAGATACGATCCTTTCTTATTTATTTATTTATTTTTTCTCTTAAGCAATTTTTTGGATTTTCTAATTAATTTATACTAGCTTCTTTAAAAAAAGACGTTGGAATCTGTCCTAATACTACCTAATCATCGAGAACCGTCAAATTATAGAATTCAGATTGTACACTGGAAACCATTACCCTGATCAATAGATTTATAGAGAACGTGCTGCTTGAAACATCATTGTACGCCTACATAATACATAAAATTCTGGCGTGAAAAGAGTTAAGCAATATTCCACGAATCGAATAAAATGGTTTCACGAAGTGTGATTTTATAAAAATGTAATTATTAAATAATAGAAGTTTAACTTGCACAGCACCCTTTACTTTATTACGTCATTGAAAACCCTTCACGTGTATAAATATGCCTGTATTACGCGTCCAAATGTTATGGATCTCACGTATATAAGTGGTAGAATTTCGCGTTGCTTTTCTTTTATCCTCTTTATCTTAATAATAAAAAGGTTACTTTCCTAACTTTTTGCTGAACCTAAATCTTCCCGCCACGAAAAAGTCTCTTTACTAACTTTTACCAAACCGACATTTTGCCATGGAAAAATAAATAAGTGTTATTCATTACGTTGTTTTCTGTCGGAGTCTGTGAGGTGGGTAGCAAGGTTCGCTGGTTCCAGACAGGGATCTGCTATGAACCTTCCTTGCGTAACTGCCTCACGGGCGAGTGGTAGAAGCTTGTATCCTATCGTTCGTTGATTGTGGTAATTTATTTCGAAGTAAATGATCCATTGCTTCTATTTAAAATTACGGTAAGTTTCGATGATACGGTCTCTTTGAGTGACACGGGAATTAGTGCATATCAGGTCTTCTTATTACGAACTCCCTATCCACTAAGTTTTTTTTATAGCCATTGCGAAACTTTCAGTAATATAATCTCTTTTTTATAAGAAATTTTACGTAAATGTTATCTAAATTTATCCATAATGTATAATAGTCAATTTTAAAATTTAAATTATTATTTAATTAATTTAATTATATGATTAAAAATATTATAAATACAGTAATATTCATTTATTTTTATAAATCTATTTAATTTTTTATTTTTTATATAAAATCATCGGACATTAAATAAAAATAAATGAAATTCGTGAATTTTTCCAAGAATTAGCAAATTCTCCAAGTAGTGTCGCCTTATAAATTGACGACGTGGATGTCACGAAATAAATTAAAATATGTGACTTTTTGGATATTGAGCACAAAGAAAAATCAAGTCTACCATAATTCGTTTGATGATTAACTAAAATCGTTGACTTTTTCGAAAATAATATTAATTTAATCTATCATTATACAGTATAGGTTATGGATAATTTTTTGAGGAGTGTGAACATCGTGTATTTCAGTCCCCTACTGCGGAGGCAAATCCGATCGTATGACCAGAATAATATAAAAAACTCTATTGTATTTACCGCATTTTATTCACAACTTTTCTTTTTCTGTTCGTAAAGATGACTGATGCTCTTCCCATTGTCGACCTTGAACTCTATCTAAATGACAAATACAGTCCGTTAGCGATCAAAGAATGCAAGAAGGCCGCTAATGCCTTGGTAGACTATGGGGCTCTCTTGGTAAAGGACCCACGGGTAACAGAGAAGGATAATTCCCGGTTTTTGGATTTGATGGAGGATTATTTCGCTCAACCCTTTGAAGTGAAACTCAAAGATGCACGTCCAGAATTTAGCTATCAAGTGGGTGTGACTCCTGGATTTAAGGAAGAGCCGAGATGTTATCGTGACCCTAATTGTCAGGAAGTTATTATTAAAATGCCTGAAGACAGTCGACCGCTTCCTATCTCAGGGCCTGACGCAAAATGGAGATATTTTTGGCGTATTGGAGAGAGACCGCAAGAAACCAAGTTCCCCCAACTGAATAGTGAACCGGTCGTTCCTGAATCTTTCAAGGATATCTGGTCCACCGTCATGAATCAATGGGGTAATCAGATGCATCGGGCCATTTTAGATGTCAGTGAGATGGCTTCAGTTGGATTTGGACTATCCGCTAATGCATTACTAGATCTCACGAAAAACGGGCCACACCTCTTGGCCCCCACCGGAAGTGATTTGAATGAGTATGGAAAACTTAATACTGTTCTCGCGGGTTTTCATTACGACCTAAATTTCATGACAATTCATGGTAAAAGTCGATTTCCTGGGTTACATATTTGGCCGCGTAATGAATCGACTAAGATGCAAGTTCGAGTTCCTGATGGATGTTTACTAGTGCAAGCTGGCAAGCAATTAGAATGGCTCACAGGCGGTAAGGTAAAGGCAGGTTATCACGAGGTGGTAGTGACCGAATCAACGCTCCAAGCCATTGAGAATGCAAAGAAAACTCGACCGGATAGGCCTTTGTGGAGGATATCATCGACTTTCTTTCTGCATATCGCGAGTGACAATGTATTACAACCATTGGGACCATTTAAACCTGAACCGGCGCTCTATCCACCGACGCTTGCTGGTGATCAAGTGAATTACGAATTATTTCAAATTAATTTGGATCAATAGTAAATGCTTTCTGTCGTGTAAATAATTTTTAGTAATTATCTATAATAATGTTTCTTGCGCAAAGAACAGTATACATATTGCCTTGCGCAGGAGAGATTTTATTATATAATAAAGACGTCTCAAAAATAGCGAACACTGGTTTATATTAAAATAACTATAAACAATTTATATTTGTCATCCAAAGATTATTTCATGTTTATTAGTTCATTTGTTATCATGTATCGTAATTGCATATATAAAAAAACAAATGGAAAGCTTTATGGTAGTTTTATAGATAGACCTTTATTTAACATTTATATTAACGGTCTATACGTCCGATTTTTTAACTGAGAACAGTAAAGTTTGTCCCGTTTATATAATATGGGAAATGATTATATACTAGTATGGTAGGAACTGTTTTCACAAAGGTATGTTGCACGCAGCTCTTGGTTTTTACAGATTTTTATATTTATTGTAAAAGATACAGCAAAAATGATATCACTAGCCAATTATAACAATTGAGATTTTATTAAATTAATGTTGAATATAAACTTAATGATTTTTTCAATTATTATTTCAAAGATAATCTTTTTTATTAAATATTAGGTTAAATAGCTACATTTAGAGAGATATTAATAAAAATTTTTTTTTGATAAATATAATTTATATTTAATATTAAAATTAGATAATGGACTTATCATCAAATAACGGATTAAGGTTTAATATAATAATAGGATTTTATTTTATTTTATTTATTTATTTTTTAGTTATAAACAAGTATTAGATATGTAACTCTTATTAAACAATTGTTTATTAATCAATATATCAAACATTTTACTTCATCTATAATAGGAATTAATATTATATTGTTGAACTATTACTAGTTAATATTGTTTATCTATATATAGCTTTGATACATCTAGTTACAGTATATGAATTTTAGATATACTTAAAAATTATTTGTATATTAAATAAAACTTATATAGAAAATAAAATTCTATTATTAGTTTAAATTATCCAATATATTAAATTTAAATTTAATTATTATAAAAATTAATACTGTAAAAGTGATCTTCAGATGTTGATTCTAGTGGCATAACTAGATCTTAATCCTAATCACTAGGTTAGCAATATATTACTTCCATAAATTGTATCTAGAGGTTTTAACTTTTGATGAGTGAGCTGAGTTTCAAATAAATTTATATCTTACATATATTCTCATATGTATAATGATTCTTTATAATTTAATAAACAATGGTACTAGCCTAATTTCAAGAAAAAAAAATTATTATAAAAATTAACTTTAGCTATTTTAATTATTTATTATTCTTTAAATAAAGATAGTTAAATAATATAATATAATATCTGATACTATAATTTGTTAAGTGCTGTTTCTTATACAAAGCTTATTTATATACTAATTCAACAATCATTAAGATTATAATCTTTAAAAAATATAATATAATATAATAATTATTCAGTTGATATTATAATAATTGTCAAAAGTTATTCAATAGTAATTGAATTAAGTAAAATAGATATATTTGTTTAATTTCTTAATCAAGATTTCTTTTATATTTGGATATACAAATTAGGTTATATTTTATTTTAATCAATCCTAATTATTTGTTTCTTTCTCTTCTATTAACTATTAAATAAGAAACCTTAAAAAAAATACTGTATTAATACTAATGTCTTATATATATAATTTCTTAATAAAAGCTTTTCTATAGTTCCGAAAATTGAAATCAAATAGAATTGAACAGAATCGCATGAGGTTCAGAATACTATTAAAAATGATGGTGGTGTATACTTCACCTATTAAATTTAATATAAACTTGAGAATCAAATACAGAATCAAAGAGAATCATTAGGATCCTTAGGTTCTTCTGCTATATTAGTTATATAAGTAAAAAGATGTAATGTAATAAACATCTTATATAAATAGTTGATAGTATTTATTGTTTCTCTTTAAGAAGTTGAACCAGTAAATATAGTAGTTTAAAACTAGTGATAGGACTTCTATTTTCTAAATAGATTTCTTGAAAATAATATAATACATCTCAAAAATAAATAACATATTGCTAGGTATAAAAAGTAGATAGGCTAGTATTAAGTTGTTATAATAGCAATAGAGAATATTTAATATAATGTAATTAATAGTTTTCAATAAAAGCCTGTATTTAATACTATTCTACTAAAAAAAAAAAATTATGTGTTATTATTAATTTTTAAAATATATTACTAGTATAATATAATACTATTGTTTTTTTTTTTTTTTTTTACTTCAAATCAGACTGCAAGTCTAGATGTTTATTAATATGAGTCTTAATTGACAAAAATACATTAATACAATATAGAATAA